CCTTGTGACATGTATGGATCAATAGAAATCACAATTCACTTATTCAATAATAAGAGAAATTCTCAATACAAGTAGCAACAAAAGCTACAGAATTTTCCAATGTTACACTTATGTCAATAATAATATGCATGCATTTAAACGGTTACAAGGATACTGATGGAGCCCAATCTTTACCTGACGCTTGTATGCTCCAGCCCAAAACAGCAGGGCTAGGGGTGTGCATTCGATTTATCGATTCGATTTTGACCCTTATCGATTATCGATTTGTACATATGCTTATCGTTATCGTTTCAATAAGGTTTCGATTTTTTCGATTTCAATTTATCGATTTTGGGGGCTTATCGATTCGGTTATCGATTACACCAATAAGAAAATTTGTAGGATTTCACGGAAAGTATATCGCTATAAACGCGCCTAACTAATATGGACAAAAAGAAGCTAAAATAAGACGAACACCATTTATAATATAAAAATTGTGTCAACAAGCACATGCAACAAAACTAAAGTAAGGGATCAAATGTATGCACCACCACTCCAACGGTATAAAAAAAATAAAACAAAACAAAACACATCATCACGGCTAATTTTGTTTTCCATTAATTTGAACTTCATTCCCTTGATCTTTAAATATGATCATTCCTTAAATGTGATAGAGGAAATAATAGGGTAAGGGACTTAGGGTAAAGGAAAGGGTATAGATTAGGGAAAATAATATTGTATAGTCGCTTTCAAAATAGTAGCGAATATATATACATTCTGTATGTTATATTAATCTACACAAATAGGTAATTACTCGTTTAACAAGTGTCTACAGTCTAGAGGTGTGCATTCGATTTATCGATTCGATTTTGACCCTTATCGATAATTACTTATCGATTATCGATTTGTACATATGCTTATCGTTATTGTTTCAATAAGGTTTCGATTTCGATAACAAATAATCGATTCGATTTATCGATAAACCGATTCGAATGCACACCCCTAAGCAGGGTAGACCCACCTTGAAGACCCGGAATACACTTTAAGTTGTAGTATTTACTTTTGTATGTTTAACCATTTTTATAACATGTAGCCTTTGTTTCAGTTAGTGTATAATGTAAATGCCCAATTGCACCGACCCAGACCAATTGACGGCTTGCCAAGACCCGGATCAAAACGACGTAGTTTTATAATAAAACTACGTCGTTTCACTAAATGAAACAAGATCAAATCTTACCCCTCCATTCCATCTTGATCCAATGGATTTCATTCACTCTTGGCCTAGGTATTTAAAGCCTCCAAAATCTGAAATTTTTTTCCATTTCCACCCATAATTCTTTTTCTTCTCTCTTATCACTCTCTCCCCCCTCTCTGCCACGCCGCCACACTGCCGCCCATCGCCGCCGGCGGCAACCCTCCAATCCACCCCAAAAATTTCACCATCTCTTCCCCTCTTCCTCCTCTTTCTACTTATACCACTCATATCCTCCAAATCTCCACCATTCTCCGTAGATCTAAGCCTAACCGAAACCCTAGCCGCCACCCACCACCCCAAACTCCGAAAATTTTACACCACAGGCCTCCTCTTCTCCCCCTCTTTCCATATCTCCAACTCAAAACCTCAAGAAACCCAACCGCCGCCGGCAGCCACCCCTACTGCCGCCGTCCCGCCGTCGCCGTTTGGCCGTGTCACTGTCGCCCCTCACCCGCTGCCTCTCGTTTCTCTCCTCAAACCGTCCCCGAGCAAGGTTGTGTTGTTGATATCATTTAAATCGAACTCGGATTCAACGGAGTTTTTGGTTTCAAGAATATCAACAATAGAAGCTTGCTCGAAGTCGTACCACTGCCTATCGTCATTTCCCGGATGCTCGAGTATATGGTAAAATCGTAATCCTCTTCCCCGTATTAATTTTCTATTTTTTGGGGGGTTTTTAGTTAGAATTAGTTTCTGTCTTGTTTCTTTATTTAATCCATATATGATTATTTTTATCTAGTTGGTTTTTGTTAAATCGTTCAGCGATAGCATGCGTTTTTTTTGGCTTTAATAGTTAATTTTTGTTTGCTCATGTTGGTTCATAATACATGTGTTGAAGTTTAATTACATGTTTTAATACTTGGTTTAATTTGAATCAATAGGTTGATAGTGGTGTTGTTAAAATCTGAAATTTAGATATTTTTTTATCATAAACTAGGGTACTAGTAGCTTGCTTTTAGTAGGGTGGCTGAAGTGAGCCTTTGGCTCCTGCCATAGCAGATTTCAGGCTGTCCTTTCACCTTTTGGACAGCCTTTAGCACACAAATTCAGCCTCTTTTGGGGAGATTTTTGGTGGACTAAAATCTGTCCAAAAAGTTGGTTTTTCTTTGCCTATTTAAGGGCTGCCCTTTCTTCAGTATTGAGGACTCCATGACACTTCCAGAGAGCATTTTATTTTTGCTTCGAACATACAAAAACAAAAAAAAATTCAGCAGCTGAAGCATCCTTTAGTAAGCTGAAATTATAAGTCTTAAGAGTAAATCTTAGAGTACAAGTTTTTTTTAGAGAAGTATAAGTCCTCTTTAGAGTTCGTTTCTGGGTTTCTTCTCTGAGTTTTCGGGCTGTTTTAACACGGATTTGCTGCTGATTTTGCTGCTGTTGTGCTGCTGATTTTTATGCTGTTTTAATTGTTGGACTACTGTTTATTCTTTTTGCTATCCAGGTAATCCTTTAAGACTCGTAATGTATGTATTTTCAGCAATGGGAACAACTTGAACATGCTGCACCATTTAAATGTGTTTGATGTGATGAATAACTTGACAACAAAACTGCTTGTACGGTATTGTTATGTATCAAGCATGTGATAATGTGAATGTAGTCCTTCATAATACTTGAATATTGAGTTGCAAGTTTTTGAATGTGATATGTAAGTAGTTTATGGATTTTTAAGCATGTTTTCAAGCTATTGTATCCGAGTAACAATGCTAAATATGCCATGAATGACTTTAGGTGTATAACACATAGCATGAGTTCGTTTTAGTTGCTGAAATTTCAATGCCGACATATGCTTCTAGGACTGCTGTTATATTTTTTTTTTGAATCTGACCATTTTGCCAGATTTGCAAAAGTGGCTATTTTTGTAAAGTGTGCGTTTATACAATTGTGACTATGTAGTTAATGGTCATAAATGCAAACTAAGTAAAGAACTAATATTGTATCATCTTTGGGCCTTTTTGAACCTAAAAATAAAAGTTGGCCCATTTACCTTTAAACAACAAAATTACCCTTTTCTTCTACATAGCATTGGGCCAATGAAAATCCATTTCTTGGCCCATTTTAATAATAAATTCCAGCAGCCCAAGAGCTCGTTACAAGCTGGCCCATTTCCCCTTTAACAAGAAGTTGGCCCATCCCTTTAAAATAGATAGAGTTGGTTCAACATTTATTTGCATAATATTTCCAACAATAAGGCTAGAAAATAGCAATAAAAATCAGATTTTTTTATACCAATTAAGTAACTCATTTTCTTTCAATTAATTAATTTGAACGCTAGGCAATTAGTAGGCGCGCTCTAATTCCACAGATTCGCTTGCGTAACGTGATGTTCGACATTCAATAATTCAATTCAACAAGGACATACAATATTCGTTAGTTTTCTAGTTAATTTTTAATTTAATAAACTCTTTGCCAAACTCGCGGATTTGCTTGCGTAGCGCGATAATTGAATTTTTAATAAATTTCAAAATTAAATTCTTAGAATGTAGTAATTTTCCCAGAAGTAAATAACTTGCTAACAATTGTTTGTCATGACTGCGAATTTGCTTGCGCAGCGCCGTTATGACTAAATAATAAATTTCGTCAATCACGCATTCACTTGCGTAGTGTGGTTATGACATTTTTTTTATATTATCCAAAAATATTCTTTAATTTTTCTAATAATCAAGAGATAAAAGCGGATAGGTAAAACATGAAAATAATATAAATCACAGTTTGTCCAAAATTAGTTCAAGTTAAGTTTAAGTCAATAAAGCGACCGTGCTAGAACCACCGGGACTCGGGAATGCCTCATACCTTCTCCTCGATCAACAGAATTCCTTACCCGAACTTTGTTTTTGCGGACCGATTAAAATAGAGTCAAACCTTCCTTTGACTAGGGATCCAAATAAATGGTGACTTGGAACACCGAAAAAGATCAATTCCAAGTGGTGACTCCGAACAATAAAATAAGCCCTATTCAAATTTTGTCACTTTAATTGGAAAAACTCTTTGACCCATACACATATTATTATATCCTCTCGGGGGGTAAAAAGAGGTGTGACATATAAATAGATAGTTTAGGCTAATAGATGAACTGAGAACTCATTTTCATATGGAACCAACTCTGTTCAATAAAAGGTTCTCCCTTTTCTATCTCTTCGAAGTTAGGGTTTCTTTGTCAATTTGATCTCGGATTGCTTCAATTCCTTGAATGTAACATGGTATCATAGCAAGGTTTCTGCTTGTCGTGACCTCCACTACCGTCTGATGCTACTCTTCAGCTGATTTTTGAGTTTACTTCTTCCGGTGTGGTGTTTCGCGATTGTTTCTAGTGAGTTTTCCTATTTCAATTGCCGTGATTTGTGGATGTTTACAGTGAACTTTTGTTGTCATTATTGAAGATTTTTTGCTTTCTCGACTGATTGAAGAAGTCTGGTACTCTTCTCTATTTTTTGGAGTCATAATTGTTTATGTAGCTTTGGTGCCCTAAATTTCTAGAGAATTTCAATTTCGAATTTTTTCATCATGGTGAATACTGAGGCTACATCTTCCACTTCTACTGGTTCTATTTCAACATCTTAAACCTTCTCACCCATTGTATCTCTATCTAACTGATAACCCTTGTACGATCATTATTGCTGATAGATTTAACGTGATGGGTTATGAATGTTGGAGTAGAGGGATGTTAATTGGTTTATCTTGAAAGAATAAATTGGGAATAATAAATGGGACAATTACTGAACCTAGTGCAACTTTGCCACTGTTTGAGGCGTGGTATCGTTGTAACGATATGGTGATTGTGTGGATTCTAAATAGCCTAGAAGCTGAGATTAAAGAAAGCATTATGTACATTGAATCGGCTGCTAAGTTGTGGAACGACATAGAGAAGTGTTATGGTCAACCCAATGGATCCAAGGTTTATCAGATTTGTACGACTTTGTCTTCCATTTCTCAAGGAAATTCATATGTTGTTTCTTACTTCTCTAGGATAAAGAAACCGTTGGATGAATTAGCTTACTTGATTACATATCCTGATTGCGTGTGTGGTTGCAAAGAAGCTTTTCAAAATTTGGAGGAGGATCAGAAACTTCATCGGTTTTTTGATAGGCCTTAATGACACTTATACCACGATTAGGAGAAATATTTTGGCGATGAAGCCCTTACCGGACATTGACACTGCCTATTCCATGTTGCTCAATAATGAAATTCAATATGAGGCTCAGTATTCAACTCCTTCATTCTCTGCTGAATCTGCCTCATTCTCTGCTAGTGTGCAAAGGCCATAAGCAGGACCATTTCCTTTTGGGATGCAAAAGACTTATTCTCAGAAGGTTAACTTTGATACTAAGAAGACTAATGTGGTGTGCAGATATTGCAAAAAGCCGGGTCATACTCGAAAAGTGTTACAAGTTAATTGGATATCCTAATAATCCTCAACCTAATAGATTTAGAAAAACTGCAGCTTATAAACATGTTTCAAAGTCTCGGAACATGGTCCAAGCAGAGAAATTTGTTGCTGATAATCAAGTTGAACATTCTGAGTCTAAGAGTCATGGTTTCACAAAAGAACAATACGAACATTTGCTAAATATGTTTCAACAGACCAAGGTGTCTACATAGGACACTGCTGTTGGATCTGCTAATTTTGCAGGTTTGTTTCACTGTCTTGATGTTAGAAATTGTTGTGTCTTTGCTTGCAATTTGTCTAAATTAGATGGTGATCTTGGATAATAAACTCTAGTGCAACTAATCATATGACACCTCAGAAATCTTTGTTAATCAATATTAAGCCTCTAATCATTCCTTACTTGGTAATTCTTCTAAATGGTTATAAAGTCAAAGTGACATGTTCAGTCTCTATTCCTTTGTTTAATGGTCTAGTTTTATAGAATGTTTTGCTTGTGCCCTCCTTTAAATACAATTTGATTTTCTTGCATCAACTTTTTTTGCAACTCTGTTGTAATGCTCTTTTCTCTCCCTATGATTGTGTTTTACAGGACCCTTCTCTGAAGAGGTCATTGGTTCTTGGTAAAATCTCTAATGGACTGTACATATTCTATAGTGACTCTCTTTCATCATCTTACGTTCCTGCTCTTTCAACTAGTGATGCTAGTTCAACTGTCTCTGTTAATTCTAGATTTGCTCCATCTGTTTCTTCTTCCATACACTGTAAATACCATTGAAGCAAATAAACTTGTCTCTAGTTGTGTGCATCTTGTTTCTTGTACTTTTAGTTTTGATATGTTTTAGCACCTTAGACTTGGTCACATGCCTTTTCATAAAATGAAATCTCTTTCCTACATTAAAAAAAACTGTCTAAGAAACCGTCCTTTATTTGTGATGTTTGTCCCATGGCTAGGCAGCAATGACTTTTTTTCTCTGACAGCTCCATTAAATCTACCACCCCTTTTCAACTTGTACATGTAGATTCGTGGGAAACTTACCATACTCAAACTTACAATGGATTTAGATATTTTTTAACTATAGTAGGTAACTTTTTCAGAGCTACTTGGACTCACTTGTTTTCCACCAAATCCAATGCTTTTACTCTATTGAAGTCATTGATATTCCTTGTGCAGAACCAATTCAATTCTTCTGTCAAAACACTTAGATCTGATAATGCATTTGAACTAGGTTCAAGTGCTGAAGTTGTTTCTTTCTTTTCATCTCAAGGATTTATACACAAAACTTCTTATCCACATACTCCAAACAAAATGGAGTAGCGGAGAAGAAACATAAACACTTGCTAGAAACTGCTAGGTCTTTGTTATTTCAATCTAATCTACTACTTTAATATTAGGCAGAATGCATTCTTACTGCCACCTACCTCATTAATTGATTTTCTTCTCCCATGTTATAACACAAAACATCTTATGAACTACTATATGGATCACCTCCTGCATATGCTTACCTCAAATTTTTTTAGGTGTTTGTGTTTTGTTGTTGTACCCAAGCCTTATAGGAACAAATTTAAATAAGGACTATTTCTTGTGTATTTCTTGGCTATAGCATGACAAAGACAGCATATAAGTTGTTAAACTTAACAAGACATAATATTTTCTTTTCCAGGGATGGTATATTTCATGAGTCTATTTTTCCATACTCTTCTTCTATTCCTTCTTTTTCCCCTCTTGATGTTTTCCCTCCTCCTCCCACTCCTCTTGTATCTTCTTCAACTCCCCCTCATTCTATGCCCACCTCTGATACTTCTTCCCCAACTACCTCTGTACTCGCTCCTTTATCTTCACACTCTCCCAATTTTACTACTTATCTTGTCCTTTTAAGAAGATCTTCCATGCCCTCAAATCTTCACACTTATCTTAAATATTATGTTTGCACTAGTGTTTCTGTCTCTAAGGATCCTAAATCTACTTCTGACAATTATTTGCTCGAGCCACATTTTTATCATCAAGTTGTTGATCACCCTGCTTGGCAGGATGCCATGTTGAAAGAATTTCAAGCTTTAAAAGAAAATAACACCTGGACCATTATGCCTTTTCCCTCTGGAAAAAAAAGTTATCTTCTCTAAATGGGTCTATAAAATTAAACCAAGGGCAGATGGTAGTATAGAGAGGCATAAAGCTAGACTTGTTATAAGGGGGGACACCCAACAAGAGGGAATAGACTTTACTTAACCCTTTTCTCTAGTTGTCAAACTTACAATTGTTAAGTGTTGTTGTTAAGAAGAATTAGGCTATTTTTCAGTTAGATGTCAATATTGCATTTTTTGCATGGTGACTTAGATGAGGAGGTATACATGAAAGTACCTCTTGGACTGCAAGTGACTGCTTCCGATCCTTCTATAAATCTAGTTTGCAAGCTTAATAAATCCCTCTATGGCCTTAGACAAGCTTCAAGACAGTAGAATGCAAAGCTGTCCATTTCTCTTCAGTCCAAAGCATATGTTTCTAGTAAGAATGTCTATTCTCTTTTCACTAAATTATCTGGCTCTTCTCTTACCATTGTGGTTGTATATGTAAATGATATTCTATTAATTGGAGATGATTTGAGTTAAATTACTGCTCTAAAGCAATTTTTGGATGCTCAATTTCGGATTAAAGATTTGGGAGAGGCGCATTTTTTTCTTGGGGTTCCAGATTGTTAAACACCCTCAGGGACTGCTTGTTACTCAACAAAAATTTCTCTTGGACCTTCTTTCTGAATTTAATTGTCTTCATGTTAGTCTTGTGGTTTCTCATTTGGATGTTCATGTTAAATTGTATGCTGATTCTGGGATCCCCTTCTCGGTTTGTCTTTGTATCGAAAGTTGATTGGAAGTTGAAGTTTCATCAACACACTAGGCCTGATATCTCCTATTGTGTGCAACACCTCAGCTAGTTTATGTCACAGCCCCGGATTCCCCATTTTGAACCTAGTTTACATGTGTTGAGATACTTGGTAGGTACTCCTGATTGGGGTTTGTTGTTCAATAATTCTTCCTCCTTTGATTTGCTTAGGTTTTGTGATTCTAATTGGGGAAGTTGCTCTACATATCGAATGTCTATGAGGAATTTTTTACTACAGTTGGGAGTTTCCCTGCCTCTTCTAAAAAGCATACTACCATTGCTCTTTCTTCAGCTGATGCTGAATATAGAGCTTTAAGACAACTAGTGGCATAAATTGTTTAGGTTGTTCGCCTACTTAGTGAGTTTGGGGTTTCATCTTTGTGTCAGGTTCTAGCGTTCTGTGACAATAACTTTGCTATTCACATTGCTCGCAATCCTGTTTTCTATGAATGTACAAAACATATTGAGATAGATTGTCACTTTGTGCATGAAAAGATCCAATTTGGGCCCATTACCTTACATATTATTCCTACTAGTTTGCAGTTGGCTGATGTTTCTACTAAGGCTTTACCAGGTGTTCACCATTGTACATTTCTTTCCAAGCTCGGACTGGTGGCCCACTCTAGCTTGGCGGGGGGAGGGGGGGTGTTGGAGCCCAATCTTTAACTGAGGCCCAGTATGCTCCAACCCAAAACAGCAAGGCAGACCCACCTTGAAGACCCGGAATACACTTTAAGTTGTAGTAGTATTTATCTTTATATGTTTAACCATTTTGGTAACATGTAGACTTTATTTCAGTTAGTGTATAAATAGATAGTTTAGGCTAAAAGATGAACTAAGAACTCATTTCATATGTAACTGACTCTGTTCAATAAAAGGTTCTTCCTTTTCTCTCTCTCTCTCTCACTCTCTCTTCGAAGTTAGGGTTTCTTTGTCAATTTGATCTCAGATTGCTTCGATTCCTTGATGGTAATAGAAACACCGAACATATCTAAGGAGTATGTGCAACAATGACATGATCCTCACTTCGTAGAGACATGAAAACTTTCAGAAGTAATAACCATATTTAATATCATATTCTTCTTCTCCCTCGCTCTCTCGGCGCAGTTTAAGATAACGTGCGCCGACCTCGTCAATGGCAGGAAAGAAGTCATGCGGTCGTCCAAAAAGCAACAGATCAGGTTGATGACAAAATACCCAAGCTCAAAAACAACAAAAGTTCCTCGTCTGTAGTCATAGAGTCAATCTCTAGAACTTCCAATACACAGGTAGGAGGTGGAATACTTACCTAGATCCCTTATGTCGGAGCCTCTGCATCTATAAGTCAACAGTAGAAACGAGCAAATCAGAGCCTTATTCCTATGCATGTGAACTTGAGTGACAGTGTAACACCTCCTCCATCTATGGGTGTTACTGTTCCATTGGGTAATGAGCTGGAAGCTGGAAATCAAGCTTCAAATTTAGCTGACGCTACACTGGGTAAGAAGAAGGAAGCTGAGAATACCAGAACACAATGTTGTTCCATAGCTGGAAATTACCAGGGAATCAACTTGGGATGGGTTTCTTAATGGTAATCGATGAGCTGCCATTGGTATGCCTTTGCACTACATTAATCCTGAACTAGTAGAAGGTAATCTTGTGGCCAAACTTGAGAAATCGGACTTAGAAGCTGAAACTTTGAAGTGGAAATGTGCCCTAATCATCTATGTAATTAGGGAAAGCTAGGGTATAACTACATGCATTGATATATAAACTAGATGTGGAATACGGTTAGTATGCTAGAGCTCTATTCTCATGATGATGGTTACTACATTGTTAGGTTTCAATC